CCGCCCCTTCTCCTGCGCCCGCCTCCGCGGCGCCCGGCGCCCCCGGCCGAAGGAAGACCAGGTACGCCTGGCCAGGTGAGTCTCGTGGTTTCCCGGGACAGCCCCCGATCGTCGTCCCTGGGGAGGCTCCGAGGCGCCCGCCGGCTGCCCTTCCTGCTTCCCAGCGTCCCGGGACGCGTCCTGGTGCCGCGGGCTCGGGTCTTGGGCAGGAAGGCCGGGCCTGAAGGTTCCTGGAGGGCCGAGAAGGGACCCCGGGAGCTCAGAGGTCATCTGCCCGGTGGACTCGGCGCCCTGGGCGGGCGGGGCGCGCGAGAGACTCCGGGACCGGAGGCCCCGGGCCCCAGGCCACCCTGAGATGAAGGGCTGACCCACAGGGCGCTGTGAGTGTCTGGGGGCCCAGGAGCGCGGCCGCTGTCTGCCGCGGTCAGCACAGCCGAGGTGCGGAGGACCTGCAGGTGCGGGTCAGACCAAGGCTCCTGGCACCAAAGGGCACAGGGGACCCAGGCAGTGGGGTGCGGTGCAGCCTCGTCCTGAAGCCTGTCAGACCCGTCTGACAGGGTCTGCCCTGGGCACCAGGCTAAGGCCCTGGGAGCACGAGAGAAGGCGGGGCCTGGGGTGCTTGTAGGCACCCAGTGAAAGTGTGGACCCTGAGATATTTGTGGGGTGACTGTAAGAATGCAAGCAGAACTTGAAGCGCAGCCCTACCTCAGGGCCTCTATCCTGGGCCATTTTCAGAATGTTCTGAAGACCTAGAGGGGCCTGTGGTAGTCTCCTGAGTGTGGTGAGCCCTTTGGCTTAGCCACCCTGTGTGTGATGTGTATGGTGAAGACTGGTGCCCCTCTACCCAGCAAATGCCACCCCCACCGCCTCTGCTCTGGCTCCAGAGATGCAGCTGCAAGCAAGGAAGAGAGGAAGCAAGCGAGGAACCGCAACCACTCCCCCATGTGCTCTCCTTCCATGTCCACAGTGTTTATCTCCTAACCTGCTGTATCAGAATTACTGCCTCAGAGGCCTTGGTTTTGTGAGTCTGACCCCCTCCCATTAGAGTTTTGCCCTCAGAGTGCAGCACTCCAAATGCAGCACTGTGCTCTGTGAGCCTCTGAGACATTTTCCAGTGCCTGAAAACAGACAGGGAATCAGAAGTCAAAGAAGCAGGAAGCCTCAGCAGGGAGGCCTGTTGCAAGTTAGTGATTTGAATGACAGGCAGGGGCCATGCCAAGGTCCAGGCAAGAGGCACAGTGTGGTTGCCCCAGTGTGTCCAAGCTGGCGAGGGAGCTCTGTATAAGGGAACAGGGTCTCTCCATGGGCTTTCAGAGGGCAGTTTCAGGGCCCCAGCTCTGTCTTTCAAGGCCTCCTTCACCTCCTCCCTTGGGTGGCAAGAAGTGAGCCATGGAGTGAGCTGACCAGCAAGACAGCCCAGAGGTGCTGTGTAAAACTGTGTTTAAAAAAACAAAACAGGGGGCTGGGGATTTAGCTCAGTGGCACAGCACCTGCCCTGCAAGTGCAAGGTCATGAGTTCAATCCCCAGTGCTGGAAAACAACAACAACAACAACAACAAACTGTGTTTCAGTGCGTGTTGGAAAATGGCTGGCTCAGCAGATTTCAACCTGAAAATCGTCCTGGTCAGTTTTAAGCAGTGTCTCAACGAGAAGGAGGAGGTGCTGCTGGACCACTACATCACCAGCTGGAAGGGGCTGGTCAGGTGTGTGCGGAGGGGGGTGCCTGCCACCAGGGGACAAGCCCGAAGTGGCAGGTGGTGGTGCTTGTGCTCAGCGCACATGGGTGGTGTCTGCTTCTTGCCTGGCACTGGGCACAGCGGGGGTGCTGGTGGGCCGGTCTCATGTTCCAGGCAGACATGTCCCCAGGAGTTCAAGACAGATGATGTCCCCTGTGCAGCAGGCCAGCTGCTCAGGCCCTGCACTGGACCTCAAGTTCTTATTTCCCACACAGGTTTCTGAACAGCCTGGGCACAGTCTTCTCATTCATCTCCAAGGACGTAGTCTCAAAGCTGCACATCATGGAGCACCTGAGGAGCAGCCCTCAGTGCGAGCACTACACGAGTCTGCAGTCCATGGTGGCCTACGAAGTGGGAAACGGACTGATAGACCTGGATCGCCGCTCCCGTAACCCTAACTCAGGCTGCAGAACCATGCTGCGCCTACACCGGGCCCTGCACTGGCTGCAGCTGTTCCTGGAAGGCCTGCGCACCAGCCCTGAGGACGCACGCACCTCCACACTCTGCCTTGACTCCTACAACGCCTCACTGGCTGCCTACCACCCATGGATCGTGCGCCAAGCTGTCACAGTGGCCTTCTGCACCCTGCCCTCACGCAAGGCCTTCCTTGAAGCCATGAACGTGGGGCCTCCTGAGGAGGCTGTGGAGATGCTAGGCGAGGCCCTGCCCTTCATCAAGCAAGTGTATGACATCTCCCAGAGGCTCTACACTGAGCACTCCCTGCTGAACCTGCCCTAGCAGCTGGCACCCAGGTCAGGCAGCTCTCCCTGCTGCAGGGCTTGGGCAGGGCAAGGCCTGTACTCTACACACAGCTTTTTGGGTGCCACTGTCACCCCTGCAAGCTGAGCTTGCTGGAAGCTGTGGGCCTGTGCCCCTCTGAACTATAGCCTAACCCTCAGCCTCAGTTACACACATGCTCAGTTTAGGCCTCACTGAGGTATAGACAAGTCAGGCAGGGCAGGACCTGGTGAGTGCAGCAGCCAGAAGGGTTGTCCCATCTCTGTTTGTGAAAGGTGTATGGTCATGGGTCTCTGGGTCACAAAGGCTCTGTCCTCTAGCCATGTGCTTAGTTTCCCATTGTTGTCACAGGCCCAGGACACAGAAGGGACAGGGTGTCTGTGCCAGACAGACAACCACAGTCTCCGCCACCCTGGGTGGGGGTCTTGGCATAGTGGGCTCTTCTCTTCCCCTTTACTTCCTGATTGGCCTCTGCATGCAAAACAGGCCAGCAGCTTTCTATCCAGGGCTCCTAGAAAGTCCTGGGAAGGACTCCTCCAGAGTCCCTGTGGGTATCAGCTCCTAGGGGGGCATGCTACAAGGCACCCCCAGCTCAGCCTGAGGTCCTGGGAGTTGAGCCAGGCCTCACCCTCCCAGTAAGCACCCCACAAGATACCACACTTTCTCCCCTGTGCTGTTGCCCCTGTCCCCACAGTGATCAGGACACCCTGGTGGGGCACGGTATGGCAGGGGGCCAGGCGTGTGCCTACCTGCCAGCCACCACCCAGCACTTGGGGAGCTGGCCTTTCCAAATGGCTTTTACACTAGACCTAGGACAGACCAGGAGGCAGTGTCTACAGGGCAGCAGACACATCAGTGTGGGCTTATAGGGTTTGTTTGGTCCCTGATATATGTGGTATTTCCCAGAATAAAATTACACTTATAGGCCTGGGTATGGCATTCCAGGATGCATACTAGGGTATACCAGGTGCCTGACTTGGAGGACTCAGCAAAGGACCCCAGATACAGAGCTGAAGTATGCGCTCCCTGATCCTAAGGGCTCAAAGGGCAGTGTCAGCTATGAGGAAGTAAGACCTGCCTGGGACAGCAGCCTGGTTTGGAAGGAGTTGTTGCTTTATTCCCATCCCTGGGGGACATTAGTTTGGTCATGCACCCCACACTATTCAGGACAAACTTGCCCAGGATCACTCCCTGGGGACCTGGGTCACAGGGGGAGGTCTGAGGCCAGCCACACATTGCAGGAGGAAAGGCCCAGGCCAGGGCTCCAGGAGGCCACAGCCACAGCTGGACAGGCAGAGGCTGCACACAGGTGGGTCCTCTTAGCCCTTCACCCTGACCTTGTGCTCTGCCCACCCACCAGGAGCCAGTGTCCATGTGAGGCTGGCAATGAAGGATATACCCAAGTCCACATAGGCCAGGAAGCAAGGCTGCAAGTGCAGCTCAGCATGTGCTGTACCTGGGCTTGCGCAGGCACCTTATGGGGCCCTCAGGGCAGCAGGGAAGAGCAGAGTATGCGATGGGCTGCAGCTGTGGTTGAGACTTCCCAGAGCCCCCGCTCCACCCAGCAGAGCTAAGAGACTCCACCACTCCTGTCTGTGCAGGGACCTGCTGTGTCCATGAGGTCTTTCCCAGAACCAGAGCCCAGTATGGAGTGGCCACTGCCAACCCTCCCTCCCCCCAGGCACACACCTGGTACTGGCAGCTGGAGCCCATTTGGTTACAGCCCTTCCTCCCTCATTTGCATGGGCCCCTCCTTTGGGCCCAGCTGCAAGCTGTCCTGGCACCTGCATGCCAGCCAGGGGACAACCTGTGCCAGGGCCACACAGTGAGCACAGCCAGCCACAGGGTGTCTGTAGCTTCCAGGAGTTGGCACCAGAGCAGCAGAACAGCTACAGCAGGACCCTTGGCAGCTCTGCTCCATTCAAGACAGCCCCTCTCTGTGTCTATGGATGCCTAGGGAGGTCATCTGTAGCCCTCACCCGACGATTTGCACTGGAAGCCAGAAACCTCCCAGTGTTTCTGTGCCCAGGAAAAGCCCCACAAGGCCCTGCCGCCTCCTCATCCCTGACAGAGCTGAGGCCCTAGGGCCCTGGATGCTCACAGTATGCTACTTGCTCCAGGAGTGGGGCTGCCAGGGGCCCAACACAGGCAGGAGCCACTTGGAACCTGCCTTCCAGGTCACTGTTGGCCTGAGAACCTGGCAGGGATGTCACCATGAAGAGTCTGACAAGCAGGGCAGCTCAGCAATCCCAGCATTTGAGAGGCTAAGGCAGAAGGATCACAAGTTCAAGGCCAGCCTGGAAAACTTAGTGAGAACCTGTCAAAATAAAAAGGGTTGAGGATCGGGCTATAGCTCAGTGGCACAAGTGCCTGCCTGGCAAGCACAAGGTCCTGAGTTCAATTCCCAGTACCAAAAAAGGGGGGTGCTAGGGATATACATAGCTCAGTGCCAAGGCCCTGGGTTCAGCCCCTAGTTCTCAAAAATGAAAGTCCTGTGTGCCCAACCCTCAGGGCTCAGGATGCTGAGGATGTGGCCAGGGCCCCAGGGGCTTGGCAGGTGAGCATAGCACTGGTTTTGCTAAACAAATCTGCCCCTCCCCATGGACTCACTACATATCTGGGGCTCCTGCCCGACACACCTTGTTCTCCCTGTTGGAAGCTGCCACCTGCCATGCCAGGGCTGGCTGTGCTGGGCCTCAGCCTTGTGGCTCTCCTGGGCCTTGGGAGGGGGGCCTTGTTGTGCCTGTCCCAGCAATTCAGGATGGAAGGGGACTACATCCTGGGAGGGCTCTTCCCCCTGGGCTTGGCTGAGGAGACTGACTTGAACCATAGGACGCGACCTGACAGCATCACGTGCTCCAGGTACGGAGTGGGCCGCCAGGGCAGGGGAGATGAGGGGGCTGGGTGTCCCTGGGCCTGTGCTGCCAAGCCTGGGGTGAGACAGCAGCCACCTGTGGCTCTGTGTGTCTTCAGGTTCTCGACCATGGGCCTGTTCCTGGTGATGGCTTTGAAGATGGCTGTGGAGGAAATCAACAACAGTTCCACCCTGCTGCCTGGGCTGCAGCTGGGCTACGACCTCTTCGACACCTGTTCGGAGCCTGTGGTCACCATGAAGCCCAGTCTCATGTTCCTGGCCAAGGCGGGCAGCCGCAGCATTGCCGCCTACTGCAACTACACACAGTACCAGCCTCGCGTGCTGGCTGTCATCGGGCCCCACTCCTCAGAGCTCGCCCTGATCACAGGAAAGTTCTTTGGCTTCTTCCTCATGCCACAGGTGGGCCCACTGTTCCTTGTGTGTCCCCGCTACCCCTACCCGCAAGAGCCCCCCATCAGGAGGTGCCTCTGGGCCCCTACAGGTCAGCTACGGCGCCAGCATGGACAGGCTGAGCAACCGGGAGACTTTTCCATCCTTCTTCCGCACAGTGACCAGCAACCGAGTCCAGCTAGAAGCCATGGTGACGCTGCTGCAGCACTTCGGCTGGAACTGGGTGGCTGCCCTGGGTAGTGACGATGAGTATGGCAGAGAGGGTCTGAGCACCTTCTCAAGTCTGGCCCATGCGCGGAACATCTGTGTTGCACACGAGAGCCTAGTGCTCCTGTCCCGCACCAACAGTGTGCGGCTGGGCAAGGTGCAGGATGTCCTGCACCAGGTAAACCAGAGCCAGGTGCACGTGGTGGTGCTCTTCGCCTCAGCCCGTGCTGTCTACTCCCTGTTCCAGTACAGCATCCGCCATAGCCTCACACCCAAGGTGTGGGTGGGCTGTGATGCCTGGCTGACGTCGGACTTGGTCATGACACTGCCTGACATCCAGCGGGTAGGCACTGTTCTTGGGTTTCTGCAGCGGGGCGCCCTGCTGCCTGAGTTCTTCCACTACATGGAGACTCAACTGGCTGTGGCCGCTGACCCAGCCTTCTGTGCCTCCCTGGATGCGGAGCAGGACGTGGAGGAGGATGTGGTGGGGCCACGCTGCCCTCGGTGTGACCAAATCATGTTGCAGAACCTGTCAACTGGGCTGGTGCACAACCTGTCAGCTGGAGAGCTGCACCACCAGATCTTTGCCACCTACGCAGCCGTGTACAGTGTGGCTCAGGCCCTCCACCACACCCTGCATTGCAGCACCTCCAGCTGCCCCACACAGGAGCCTGTGAAGCCCTGGCAGGTGAGCGTGGGGCAGGGGCTGCAGGGTCATGGTACCAAAGCCAATCTTGGTGGTCTGTAGCTTTTGGGTCAGCCCTGTCCCCACCTCACCCCATGCCCCAGCTCCTGGATAAGATGTACAACATGAGCTTCCACATTCGCGGTCTGGAGCTGCGGTTCAGTGACTCTGGAAATGTGGATATGGAGTACGACCTGAAGATGTGGGTGTGGCAGAGCCCGATGCCCAAGCTGCGCACCGTGGGAACCTACAACGGCAGCCTCCAGCTACAGCCCACACTCATGCACTGGCATGCACCAAACAACCAGGTCAGTGCACAGCACACAGTCCCAGCCACGCAGGAGCCTCCACAGCCAGGCATGGCCCAGGGTTTGGAATGTTTCTGGCCTGAGGGGCACCTAGCCCCACGAGCCAGACCTGACGTCCCCTACCAGGTGCCAGTGTCTCAATGCTCCCAGGAGTGCCGTGAGGGCCAGGTGCGCCGGGTGAAAGGCTTCCACTCCTGCTGCTATGACTGTGTGGACTGCAAGGCAGGCAGCTACCGGCAGAACCCAGGTGAGTCACCTACCCAGCCACAGTCTGTACAGTTTGTGGGTCAGAGTCCTCCCAACTCTGGCTCCAAGGCTGACAGGGAGGTCAGAGCCCACAGTGGCTGTGCACCCCAGTACCAGTTCATACAGTCCCTTCTCTCCTGCCTCCTGCAGATGACCTCACTTGCACCCTCTGTGACCAGGACCAGTGGTCTCCGGAGCGGAGCATGCGCTGCTTTCCCCGCAGGCCCAGGTTCCTGGAGTGGGGAGATCCGGCTGTGCTGTTGCTGCTCTTGCTGCTGGCCCTGGTGCTCGGCCTGGTGCTGGCAGCCCTGGGGCTGTTCATCCGCCACAGGGACAGCCCACTGGTCCAGGCCTCAGGGGGGCCACTGGCCTGCTTTGGCTTGGCCTGCCTGGGCCTTGTCTGCCTCAGCGTCCTCCTATTCCCAGGCTGGCCGGGGCCTGCCAGCTGCCTGGCCCAGCAGCCTGTGGCCCACCTCCCTCTCACAGGCTGCCTGAGTACACTGTTCCTGCAAGCAGCTGAGACCTTCGTGGAGTCAGAACTGCCACCCACCTGGGTGGCCTGGGTGCGTGGCCATCTGCGGGCGCCCTGGGCCTGGCTGCTGGTGCTGCTGCTGATCCTGATGGAGGCAGCACTCTGTGGCTGGTCCCTCGCAGCCTTCCCATCCAAGGTGGAGATGGACTGGCGGGTGCTGCCCAGGGAGGTGCTGGTGCACTGCCACATGCACTCCTGGGTGGGCCTGGGCCTGGTGCATATCACCAATGCTACACTAGCCTTCCTCTGCTTCCTGGGCACCTTCCTGGTACAGAGCCAGCCTGGCCACTACAACCGTGCCCGTGCCCTCACTTTCACCATGCTAGCCTACTTTGTCACCTGGGTCTCCTTTGTGCCCCTCTTCACCAACATGCAGGTGTTGTACCAGCCTGCTGTGCAGATGGGTGCCATCCTCCTCTGTGCCCTGGGCATACTGGCCATCTTTCACCTGCCCAAGTGCTACCTGCTACTGTGGTGGCCAGAGCTCAACACCCCTGAGTTCTTTCTAGGCCAGGGGCCTAACGACACCACAGATGGGGGTGGTAGTGGGGGCAGAGACAGGACTCAGGGAGACCATGAGTGACCTCTAAGCCCAGGATCTCAACCCCAGTGAATACAGTCCCTGCAGAGACCCCACAACCCAACCCCTGGGCTGATAACCGCCTGTTTTCCATTCTGACTCCAACCTGACCTTGACCTTGACCCCAGGCCTGCACTGTGTGGGAAGAGCCCACAAGACCTGCTCCACTGCCCCAAAGGCCTCCCAGAAGTTCCTGGGGGCCTACAACCATACCCTCAGCTCAGGACACTCCTAGCCAAAGGGAGGCCAAGTTGGGCACCACTTGCCTCGCTGTGCCCAGGCTAGGCCTAGAGTAGACAGCAAAGCCCAACCAGGAGGGGAAGGGCAGCACCCAGCCTGATCCAGGTCAAGCCCATGGGAAGGGGCCCTGCCTGCCACCAGTACCTCGGACAGAGCAAGGGTGGAGGTGGGCGTCAGCACCACGGCCAGCGACCACTCCCGGGACCCCTGGAGCCAGCACCAAGGACAGAAGACGACCGGCCAGCACCGGGGACAGGGCCTCGTCGCAGCACAGACTCAGAGGATGGTGCCAGTCTGGGTCAAGGCAGCCTCCAGTCAGACCCGGGTCAACACTAGACCCGCCCCCCACTCGAGTACCGAGGCGGCCCGCAGAGAACAGGGTCACAGGCCAAACACCAGCCCCATAAAATTAAATGCTTTTTAGTGTTTAAAATAGCATTTACACAGAAGCAGCTCTAGTGAACTACCCAGATACTTGGACTTTGACACAGTATCTACAGCGCAGATGTGCGGAGGCCAGGTGTGCCAAGAAGGCAGCGGCACAGGCAGGCAGCCCATGGACAGCAAGGACAGGCCAGGCTGGCTCCTTCCCAAGACCCCATCTGCCTGCAGCAAGACCTTGTGCAGTTTGCAGGGCCCCTCCCAGCTCCCCACATTCCACACCTTCCGTTCTGACCTGCGTCCCTCACACCTGCTCTGAGTCCCAGAGTGGAGCCGGAACATGCAAACTACCCTGGCTGGGCGGGGCGGGGACAACTGCCCAGCTGCCACCCCCATGGCAGGCAGGGCAGCAATAAATAAATAAGTTAGATCCCACTGTGAGTGACCAGAGGGGCCTGGAGACGCACTGCCTGGTGAGACAGGCGGGGCCAGTGAGCTGGGTGAGGAGGGGCTTCAAGCCAGTCCAGAGAGGCATCTGCATCGCTCTAGGGGTTGACACAGAGCCCCCAAGGGTTACCTTCAATTAGGGGCCCCAGAGCCACATGCTGAAGGGGCAGGTCAGACCTGCCTGAGGAAAAGATGGTTCCTCCCAAGGGTCTGCAGAGACACAGCTGCTCACTGTACTGGGACCCCAAGAGGAGGTGGCTGCCCTCCAGCCTGCGTCCACTGCCTACCAGGCCCAGAGCCCCCGGCTGGCCCATCCCCAGCTGGCCACCACTAAGGCAATCCCACTGGCTCCCAGTGCAGCAGGACAGGGTGCCCCGCCTTGGACAGGGCTGAAGGCACTGGCCACCAGTTACATGATGTCCACAAAAAACTCACAGGGATTCCCCATGGCCTTCTGGAAGGACTGGCGACTGCCAGTCAGTTCTGGGGGGACAGCAGCCAGCTCCCGGACAGGTGGTCCCCCAGGGGGTCCACCCACCACTGTGTAGGCCTTTGTTGGGGCATGCAGTGGAGGGAGCCCCGGAGCAACGGCTGAGGCCTGGCTACGTGGGCTGCTGCCCTGGCTGAGCTGGCTGACAGGACGCTCCCGCCAGCCGGTGCTGCCCAACCTGCTGGGTGCCACAGGGTCCGACTCACTGCCACTGCCCCCGCCCCCAGCTCCAGCCGCCCGACGCTCCTTCTCTCGGCCTGGGGCCCGGCGGCTGCTCCGGGTGGACCCGCTGCTTTTGCTCCCTGGGAATGACAGGGAGAAAGGGAGGGCCAGGTCAGCCAGGCCTAGCCACCCCCAAGGCCACTGCTGCCCCAGGCAGTCAGCAGGAGGGGGCCAAGCAGGGGGCAGCCATGCAGACACAAGGGTGGTTACAGCCCCACCCCACATAGCAGGAGCAGAGGGGCACAGGGATGGGGCAGCAGCACGTGGCAGGAGGTGGGCCATGCCTCAGCCCAATACTTGAACTGAGGGCCGTTCTCCCAGCTGAGAAACTGAGGCCCCAGGGAAGGCCCTCAGTGCCCAGCGCTCCTGCTGGACATTCTGAGCCTCCCACCCAGAGACCACTGTCCACCCACCCTGGGGCCCTGGTCAGCTAACCACTTGGCCCCTGTCCTGGGCTCCAGGAAACCTGAGGACAGAGGCTTGCTAGGGACATGCCAAGAGAGACGCCGGGGGGGACCCTGGCTTACCGGCCCCGAGGGTCCACTCCGCTAGTCCTTCAGTCTAAGGCTTGCTCAGCACAAAGCAAGGGATAGCACGAGTTACACACCGGGCCCACCACCAGTTCTGTCTGGCAGCGGCTGGGCTGGGTTTAGATGGGAGCAAGTGCCTGTCCAGGGTCCGAACACCAACAGTTTCCCCTGGGCACAGCCACCCCCCACCCCTTGCCTTTCCTGTCCTTCTCTGGTCCCCAGGGCCAGCTGGCTGCACTTCTCCCCAGAAGCTCATACACAACCACAGGTTTCATGGTGCCACTCGGCCTCAGCTCTACTCCAACAGGCTCCTTCCGGTTCTCCAAAGTTCCCTGTGGGCTGCAGGGGTCCCTGGGATGGAGTCCACCCTCCCTGTGTCCTGGGCCTGGAAGGTGACCCTGACCAGTGCTCTTAATCACCCAGCCTCTGGGCACACAGCCCCCCCATCTCCTAGTTCTGGCCTCTGCCAAACCTGGACCACCAGCCCCACCAGGCACAATGGCAAAGCCCCAGGTTTCCTGAACTCCTCCCCAGAACCCAGAGAGGGCCCAAGCACACAGCAGGGGTTCAGGGCAGCAGCAGGAGGGCAGGGTGGGCAGCGGGCAGCAGGGGAGCTGGGCGGGCTCTCACCTTCACTCTGCTGGCTCCCAGCGCTGCCACTGCCATAGCTGAAGCCAGGGTCCTGGTAGGCGGGCGGGAAGCAGGGTGGGGGCCCAGGGTACTGGTAGGGGTAGCTCTGGCTTAGGGGCCAGGCTGTAGCTGGATGGGGCAGCGGGGCCAGGGTGTCCTGATCCGAGGCTCCGCTGGAGCCACTGTGGAGATTCAGGGCTGCGAGATCTGGTAAGGGGAGGTAGGTGAGGAGTGCACAGGTGTTGGGTCCCCCACGGCCCCACTTATCACTGCACACAGGCCCTGCCCCTCACTTACCACTGCACAGGTCCCCGAAGACATAGTAGCACTGCTCAGAGAAAGTGATCTTGTTCACCGTGTGCCGCAGGAAGCCGCGCCTCAGCATGCTGCCCGCATACTTCCTGGCCTCGCGCCGCTCCCGGAAGCCTTCTACATGCGTGTACAGCCAGTCTACCACGTCCGCTCCTGGCCACACAGCCAGTCAGGCTAGAGCTCAGCCAGCCAGCTGCTCTCCTACCCCACCACACCCCATTCCCTGCCAGCTGGCAGGGGCCAAACAGGACTCACCAATGACAGCGTTGGCAATGGTGATCTTGAGCCACATGCGGTCACGGATCTCTAGCCCCGAGTCTGGCAGCTGCATGACCCGAGCAATGGCACTCATGTCGCTCTTCACCGTCAGTGGCGCTTCTTCCAGCTCTGCAGAGCACACCCCTTAGCTCCGGAGCAGCTGGCTCTGGGCAGAGCCTGGGAGCCCAGGAGGGGCTGCAGGATGGACCCCCCAGGCTTGAGGAACAGACCTCCATCTCACCCCACAGGTGCCCCTCACAAGATCTCAGGCCAGAATGGGCAAAGCCACCCCCACCCCGCAGACCAGAGCCAAAAGACCAGCTGGGTCCCGCCCCTACTCTCCTCCCCGCAAGGGCGGGCATTAGTCATGTTAGAAGCAGGAAAGCAGAGCAGGCCACGTGCCCCTTCCACCTGGCCTGGCAGGCCCAGGCCTCTCTGAGGCCCACACCAACAGGCTCAGCTGCGGGAGGGGCAAGTTTCTGTCTGTGCACGCCTGTGGGTGCTTCGGACGGGCACAACACCTGTCCTCAGCTGGTGACAGCCATAAGAGCCCAGCATAAGGCTGGGCCAACCCACGCCCTCCAGCCTTGGTTTCCCTCCAGGGGTCTTGTGAGCTGCCACTTACGTGGAGCGCCAGGCACTGAGCTGGTTAGTGAGGAGGAGCTGGAGCGCGTGACAGCGCTGGAGCAGGGGCTCGTACCATAGCGGGGCAGGGCACCCGTCAGCGCCGCTGTGTGGGACAGCCATGCGGCTGGGTCGATGGGTCGCACAGGGTCAGCTGGATGGCAGCAGATGACAGATGGACAGGAGGAGGGAGAACAAGGCACAGAGGAGACAGGCCTTCAGGCTGGCGCCAAGCACTCCCCCTACTCCCCACCCACAGGTCACTCACCCCTTGGGACGGTGAAGTAGCTCCGGGGGGTCGGGTCCCAGCATTTGGCCACTGTAAGGCTGATGGGCCTGTGACAGGCATCACACAGGTGAGGCCCTTGCAGCCTGCTCTGCCCTGTGTCCTTGTGCCTGCCCTCTCTCTGTGCCCCACATCCTGTAACCTCAGTCTGGGACATGACCCCTGCTCCATGCCCCACAGCCTCACCCCGTCTGGGACACGATCTCCCGGAGCACCCGCACGGCATCATCATTGCTCATGTTTTCAAAGTTCACGTCATTCACCTGGCGGGGGGGGGCGAGGGTCAGGGCCAGTGGTGCGGCGGGGCTGGGGGGGGATACCCACATCTGGTCCCTGACCCCCACAGCCCACACCTGCAGCAGCATGTCACCAGGCTCGATGCGGCCATCAGCAGCCACAGCCCCGCCTTTCATGATGGAACCAATGTAGATGCCGCCATCACCCCGGTCATTGCTTTGGCCCACGATGCTGATGCCCAGGAAGTGATGCCTCTCTGCAGGAGCAGCAGTGAGCAGGCCCTGCCTGGCCCCGCCCTGCCCGCCCTGCCAGCCCCCAAGGCCTCACCCATGTTGAGCGTGACGGTGATGATATTCAGAGACATGGTGGAGTCGGTGATACTGCTGAAGGAGGAGGCCTGTAGAGGGGCCCAGTGAGGCACGGCCAGCTGCCCACACCCCCCCCACGGGCCCCGCTGCCTACCCGGTCTGTCTGCCGCAGGCGCTGCTTCCGGCGCCGGCGCTTGTGCTTGCGGATAAGTCGAGAGGAGGTGCTCTGCTCTGTGGAGCTGCTCAGCCTGGGGCAGGAGGGTGGAGGGCAGAGGGCAGGGTTCAGGAACTGCCCCACACCGCAGGCTGACTGCACATGGGATACGCGCTCCTGCACATACCGGCTTGTGTTGTCATCCTCATCTGAGTCGATGAAGCTGCTGGACTCCAGCTCACTGCTCAGCACAGTGGACGCACTATCTGGGGGCAGCCCAAGGTCCCGCCGCCGATCCCCCCTCAGGTGCCCATTGGTGCGGGTGGCTGCAGGCCAGCAGGAGGGAGCTGATGTGGGGCCTGTGCAGCCTCTAGCTCCTGCTGGCCCAGCAGCTGGCAGGTGACTCTAGGCCCACAAGGGGCACCAGGTCCGGGGCCTCAAACCAGGGACCTCAGGGTACTGGCAGGGACTTGGGGTCCACCACAGGGAGGCTTGGGTCCCAGGGCAGGGCAGACACAGCCACAGTACCCTCCTCACGGTTCCGGCGCCGGGCCCGCTCCCGCCGGTGACTGATCATGGACTCTGTGCCAGTCTCGTTGTCCAGGCCATCGCGGCTGGGGGCCACGTTTGGGCTGTGCAGATGAAGTGGGTACAATGGGGAGGCTGGGCAGCCGGCATCACAAGGACTCCACCCCTGCCCCTCAGATGGGCCTCAGGAGCACCCAGAAGCTCAGTCCACAGGGTCCTTACTGGAAGGAAGGCGGCCGGGAGTCCCCAATGCCACCTGTCCGTTCAAGGGCTGGGGGCAGGTCTGTGTGGCTGTCGGTGCCCTGGGACCCCGCGTCTGAGTGAGCACCCTCGGCCAGGACCAGCTGTGGAGGTAGAGTGAGGGCTCGGACACCCAGCTTGCCTGGGTCCCTGCCCTACCCTGGCCTGGCCTGGCCTGGCCTGCCAGAGCCAGGGCCATGCCCACCCGCCTCCCTGGGAAAAGCCTCCACCCATGGTAGATGTCAGGGCCCAGCTGAACATCATGGTGTATGCAGGACTCACCCAGGAGACCACCCGGCCATTGAAGCAGGGCAGCTTGGCGTTGTCATCAAAGATCTCTTCCTTCACCACCCTGTAGACAGGTGGGTGTGTCATCTGTGGGCACCCCACCCACCACATTCTCTTCTCTGGGCCCTTTCCACCCTGCATTGTCTCTCAGCCTTGGAACAGTGGTGGTGGACAGTTCATTAGGGCCAGCCTAGAGCTCCTGTCCACCTCCAGCCTGGGGCAGCAGGTAGAGGGCAGACAAAAGGAAGGGTGCCCTGGAATGGAGCTGGCATTGCAGCATCCTCTCTGGCCCTGTCCACACACGTGGCGCCAGCTCTGCCCAGTCTCCAACCTTGGACCTTCTCCTGGGGACCCCAACAGCTGCCCACTGAGCAGCTCTCTGCATGGCCAGGTAGCCTCCCTGTCTCAGATCAGGACTCTCCCTTGGCTCTTCTCTGCTCTTCACCCCAAATCCATACCCATACCCTGGGCCCCACCTTCCAGCCCTTTCTAGGACAGCCCTCCTGCTTCTCAACAGCCTGTAGGTCTGCAGCAGCCTCCTGGAGGAACAGATCTGATGTTCCTCATGCTACCCCCAAGACTCCTTCTTCCCACACATCCGTCCTGTCTCTCCATGGTCCTTCCAACGTGCCCCCTCCATGTCTGGCAGCCCTGCATTCTCCTATGTGCTCCCTACCCATCTGCCTATGCCCTCAACCAGGCCCAACTCTCAGGTAGCCACAGGCTCTGCCACCTGAGGACCATGCAGCTGGGGTCAGAGCTGGCCAGGCCCTGGCTACACCCACTGGCCAGCATCTGGTCCTCTCCCTGTCTTCCTGCTGCCCCTAGGACAAGGGCATAGGGCACCCAAGTAAGGTGCCAAGGATCAGGGAAAGGAATAAACTGGGAAGGAGGCCAGATGACCTGGAGTCAGGGTTCAAAGGGGCAAGGGTAGCAACCAGCACAGCTCAGGGGGTGGTAGGCGGGAGCTAGGGCTGGACACCCCACCCACTGGCGCTCAGCCCTGCCAAGCACAGTGGGATTTTCCATGTCCGGGACTCAGGCCAGATGAGAAACAGGAGCTGGGAGACTGGGCTGGGCCTGGACGTGCACCTGGCAGGAAGCAGCCTCATGGCCCGATGGGCCTAATGCCAGAAGCAGGGCCACCAGCCCCAGGACACCTTGACTCGCCTTGTCCAGGGAAGCAGCAGCTGGCCCAAGTGTAGTGGGCACCTCATCTCACCCAGGGAGTGAGGCCTTGCTCCAGATCTCGCCAGGAGGCCACACGCCTAAGGCGAAGCAGCAGCAGAGATGGGGCCAGCCTGGAAGGGAGGATGTAGCCCACCCAGCCTTCTATGGCTCTGTCATTGCTCCAGGTGCCTCCCTGGGCCCTGTCCAATGAGGTGGACACCCCAACAGGCAGACAGTCACTTTCCAGGACCTCTCGAGCCTGTGCCTTCACCCATGACCCACAGCCTTGCACAGCTAGGCCAGCTTCCCTGGAAGGCCACACCAGGCCTGGGCTTCCTGGGATAGGGAGTGGAGCTTGCAGCAGCCAATGCACCACAGGCTGCAGCGAGCTGTTCATCTCTGAGGTTCGTAGCAATCACCTGACCACAGCAAAGACCCCCAGGAACCCCTGCCTCCACCCCACGATGGCCCCAGTGGGCCAGCCAGCAGCCTGCCCCCTGCCATGCCCAGTGGCAGCCCTGTCTGACTCACCTTGGGAGTCAGATGGGAGCCTAGCACCCACTGACTCCCTAACGCTCTGCTTGGCCTTGAGGTCCATTGCCCACGTGGCCAGGGCCTCACGATGACCAGAGCTACGGAGGTCCCTGTGCTTCCCAACACTATTCTGACACCATTCCCAGGGCCCAAAGCCTTGCTTTCCTGGCCCAGCCCAGCCAGCAGGACCCGAATGCTGCCTGACAGGTGTGGCCTCGGGGCATGAGGAGGGCCAGCAGCCAGGACTGAGGGGAGGCAACTGACAGATCTTCCCCACCCCAGCCAGGCAGGGTACAGGTGCCAGAGCCCCCAGTGGAGGGCAGGTGTGCGCTCTGAGGTGGGCAGTGCAGCCCACAGTTGCCAGCATGATCTCTCAGGAGTTCCAGAGCAGACACACAGGGGTGGGAGAGGTCAGGGGCCATAGCCCAGACTCTGGACAATGCTGGGGCTGCTGTGTACATGGTCTCTTGGGTTGGGGGGACAGGCTCAGGAGCAGCTCCATGTAGTCAGGACGGCCAGCCAGGGCACCCACCGGGGAACTCCTGGAATGATCCTGGTTAATCTCGAACTTACGGCCACTGGGCTCCACCTCTCGCCCCTGTGATCCACCCCAGGGAGAGCTGCTGGGTTCCTCAGAGCCCAGCAATGCTTGGCCAAGAAGGACCCTGGGCTAGAGGCTACAGCAATCAAGGGCCCCAAAGGGCCCCAAAGGTCCCCCTCCCTATCCCCACATACCCTCAAGAGTCAGGGTTCCAGCTGCACCAAGCCTTAGTGTGTGGTGGGCCTCAGCCCAAGGCACCCACTGCCCTGCTCCAGCCCTGATGTCCACTCAGCAGTGGCACAGAGCCCCCTTGGGTCACTCTGCATCCCCTCTCAACTCTGGCTATGCACTGCATCCACCTAGGCCTGCCAGCCCGGGGAAGCAGGAGGGTCACAGAGACTGAATGTCAGAGCTCAGGGACTGCAAGCAGCAGCCTCTCATGCAGTCCCTCAGGCACATGGGGCTGACAGAACATCTGTGCCCACCAGCAGGCAGCCAGAATCCAGGGCTCCCAGTGCCCTGTGCCCAACCACCCAGTCCCCAGGCCTGGGTCTCCTGACCACGGAGATCAGTGGACGAGCTGAACACCAAGCCCACAGGCCTGCATCGGCAATGTCTGCCAGTGTGGACTGAAGGCTGAAACTCTCCCTCTTCTGCCTCAGGCTCCACCCCACACTGATCGTCACCAGACCCAAAGCCAGAGACCCACAGACTGTGCCCAAGCCCCAGGGGTCCTGGGTCAGAACAACCATCAACTACACATGAAAACTAGGGGACAGAGCCAGACACTAGGTACACACCTAAAATCCCAGTCCTCAGGGAGGCTAAGGCAGGAAGATCACAAGTTCAAACCCAGCCTGGGCAATTTAGCAAAACCCTGTTTCAAAATAAAAATAAGAAAAAGGCTGAGGATGTAGCTCAGTGTGGAGGCCTGGGTTCAATGCCCAACACCACAAAGAAAAGACAGAAATAAGAGGAAAGCTTCCCGGCCTCCAGTCAGAGGCCACCTGGGCCACAATCCCTGCTCGGACAAGACTTGCCTTCCCCAGTGTCAAGCTACATTCACTTGGTATCCAGAGCAGGACCCCACCTCAGCTTTCTTTTACACTAAAGTAACAATGGAAGCCGGGAATGGTGGCGCACAGCTGTAATCCCAGCATTCAGGAGGCTGAGGCAGGAGGATCCTTGCAAGTTCAAGGCCAGTCTGGGCTACAAAGTGAGCTCAAGGCCAGCCTGAACTGCATAGTGAGACCCTGTCTCAAAAAGACAAAATATAATAATAATAATAATAATAATAATAAATAAAAATAAAGTGACAATGACTGACCAGCCCCTCCCATGAGAACTTACATATCCCACTAAATAAAGGACTTATGGACTAGGCAAAGGTTCCAGTCTAGAGACAGAACTTCAGGGAAGAGAAGAGGGAAGCAGATGATGGAGTCCTTTCCCAGCTCCTGAGGCCATCAGGCCATCAGGCCATCAGGCCATCAGCCAGAGGGCCAAGAAGGAAGCAAGGTGAGGCCCTGTCCCGCTGCTCACCTCAGCTGCCCTCTGCCTCCTGGCTCTCTCATACACCAGAGGTGCCCAGCTTGTGCTCAAGCCCTCTGTTGGCTCCCACACCAAACCCCACCATTTCCAAGCCTGCTCAGGCCCCCAAAGACCATCTCCCACATCACAGCCCTGAGTGCCCATCCCTCCTCAGCCCTGGTACTACGGTCCCCCAGATCTGCCCAGCAGCAGCTCCTCTGGGGCACAGGGATCGACAGCCTTCCCTATAGATGTCATAAGCAGAGGGCAGGGTCCCTCCAAAACACAGCCCAGAGCATGGGGCAGGCAGCAACCTCGGGGCAGGCATGCTCCTTACCACACATGCCCCCAGGCCAGGAGTCTGTGAAGAAGAGCGTTTGTGATTTTGGTGGTTCCTGTCAAAACATTACACTGAAAACCCAGATGCTCGCTCTTCCACACACCCCTGTGCAAGGTCAGGAGGTGAAGGGGGTTGTGACAAGGCCCAGAGACGTGAAGGGCCCACGTGAGGCCCAGCAGGAAGGCAGTCAGAGCCGACCCCAGAGCCGGCCCAGGCTGAGCAAGACGCCCGCCCTGAGGAAGACCTGCCCAGGATGTGCCCGCCTCTCCTCCTCCTTGGGCCAGGGCTGCCCACCTGACCTCGGGCCCTAAGTAGAGTGGCCCTCCCTTGACTGGACCTGGGCTACCCAGGTCTGGGGAATTCCAGAATCCAGGACATGGGAGGTCAATGTCAAAGCGCCAAGACAGGCCACACACAAGGACACCACTCGCCTGAGGGCACGGGGCACACCTGCTCAGCAGACTGCTGAGCTGGGGACTCGGGTTACTGGTGGCTGTGACCCCGTCAGGCCTCCGGGGATGGCCGGGCTCCGGCTCCCTGTCCCTCACACAAGTGGGAGGTCCCTTCTCCCAGCGCAGCCGGCACAGTGGCCTAGAGGCTGACCCTGGCCAGCAGGTGGCCAGCAGCCTCAGGGCCGGGGTGGAGCGACTCCAGGATCCCTGTGACCCTTGGCCTCTGCCCTGCCACGGGAACCGGGAGAAGGGCGCCAAGAGTCTCCCTGAGACTCCAGAAACTTCTCAGACTGCTGTCCCTGCGCCACCCCCACGTCCAGTCCCACCTAGGGTCCAGCGGGAGCCGGGACCTGGCCCGCAGGCCCCTCCCGGACCCGGACCCAGGCCCCGGGACCGCCAGCCCCAAGGCACGGACGCGGCAGGCCCCGGC